AGTGGGGTCCCAGGACTTCAAAGGCAAGGAGAGAATGCTGTGATTTATACATTTCACTTGGGAGCCCCTTAGGAAGAGGAAGCCTATTGTGCTTTGGACATTAGACCACGGGGGTCTCTTACATCCTCTGCCCAGGGTCACCATTGAGATGCCAGCCTGGTTCAAGATGCCTGACGCTGTGCACACCATAGAGACCTCCTTGTGGGCAGGCACCAGGCTTTCTCTGGTCTTTGTATTCCCTGCACTTAGCACAGTGCATGGCACATAGTAGGCACTTAGCACATGCATGTTGTCCTGACAGACCAAAGGAATTCTACCGATTGAACAGTGTTCTACTCAAACTGTACGGTTTTTTTGTGCCAGGCCTCTTCCTGCCTTCTCAGCCTTGCACCCTGAAGTGACTCATACAATGGCCTAGCCTCTCCTTCACTCTCCCTTGGAGCCACCCCCAGCAGACTCTGGGCTTTGGGGGAGGCAGTGGGGCAGGCACTTCTTGGGAGGGAATGAGGCTCCATGAGGTTTCAGACAATGAGAAGAAGGAGAAGAAGGATTCTTAGAATTTTGCAGTGCCTTAGGGTTTGAATACTTATCAAATGTTATCTTCATTGTCATAACAATCCTGTAGGGTGTGTGCATCTCTATTTTACAGATGAAGAAACTGAGGTTAGGGAAGTAAGGAGCTTTTCCAGAGTCAAACAGCTGGTAAATGACTGAGGCAGGATTCAAACTCAGGTCTTTCTAACTCCGAGTCTAGTACTCTCAAGCACTTCATGAGGAGGAAGGGGAGGAAGAGGAGAGCTACTCCTTTATACAGCACATTCAGGTTGGAGAAATGCTTTATATTTGAAGTCAAAAAGGCCTGGGTTCAAATCACACCTTAGCCTTTCTAGACACATGACTCAGCAAGTCACATAATCTCTTGTGTCTCAGTTTCCTCATTTGTAAAATGAGGGGTTTGGACTTGATGGATTCCAAGGTACTTATAAAAACCACTCAGAACTGGCAGATATGTTATCAAGGATTGCTTTCCGTGATCTTTGAGAAATCATGGAGAATAGGAGGGGAGGGAAGGCAATGATCATTTGGGTAGCATCTACGCTGTGCCAGGCGCTGTGCTAAGTGCTTTGCTTTTTTCACTTATCTCTGTTTGCCTCAGTTTCCTCATCTGTAAAATGAGCTGGAGAAGGAATTGACAAACCACTTTCGTATATTGTCCAAGAAAACCCCAAATGGGATCATGAAGAGTCAAACATGACTGAAATGACTGAACCACAACAAAAATCTTCTTTAGTGGTCCCCTTGTGGAGGCATGAAGGTGCCACACTTCATCACATACAGTCGGTCCTCAATTGCCCTTAACACACTGCCACAGGCTGATAGTGTGTGTGGATAGTGGATGGGGAGAGTGGGGGGAAGCCAGATGCTAAGGACTCTGAATCTCTGAATCCTGAACTACCTTGACATTTACTCTTGCACTCCTAAGGCATGACCAAGTTTCCTCAGGCATTTTGAACATTCTTCTTGTGTGACACACATCATTTCTGGTTTCAATTACTGTTGTGTGTAGACATTTTCACATTTAGTTGGAATGACCTTGACTGATTTTGATTCCATGGGAGACGTTCCCACGTACCAGGAAACAGAATTTTATTGCCTTCTATACCATGCATCTTCCCAACCTGCCCACCTTCATCTCTCCCCACCTCCCAGATTCTTTTTAGGTATTGTCTTCTCCCATTAGAAAGTAAGTTCCTTGCGGGCAGGGGCTGTCTTTCATCTGGCTTATATTTGTATGCCTGTTTGTATTTGTCTGCCTCAGACACTTCCTAGCTGTGTGACTCTGGGCAAGTCACATGAGCTCTGTCTGCATCACTTTCCTCATGTATAAAATGGGTATTATAATAATAGCACCTACTTTGTGGGGTTGTTGTTAAGGACAAAATGAGCTAATATTTGTAAAGCACTTTGTAAAATCTTAAAGCTCTATCTAAATGCTTCACAAGGTTGTGGAGATCAAGTGAGACACCCCCCCCCCGCAAAAATGGAAGAAAAGAAGTGCCAACAAGCAGGCCCTTTGTGTTCCCCGTGTGCCACACAGTGTGCTCTCGGAGTTGGAGTCTACTTTCTTCTGGTCTCAGGTCTACCGAGGGGAGAATGTCACCAACTTTGGGGGAGATATTTTGCACCAACTTTTCTTAGAGTTCTTCCTTTAGTAAATACCCCTTTCTTCGAGCTACTTAAGTTTGGTTGACTAGTTAATAACCAATTACCAGAGTGGGAAAGCACATTAATCAAACAAACCCCCTAATCACTAAGGACCAACCCTAGAGCTTTGGGAGATGTAGCAGTCATGTTCCAGGGACCCAACTTATTGTGGGAACGGAAGCTGGGACAAGTCTATTTTTCTACACTGTGTGTACTTATTTGTGTATATGTTATCTCCCCTAGTAGAATGTAAGCTCTTTGAGGGCAGGGACTGTTTGATTTCTACCTTTGTAATGCTAGGACTTGGCACAGTTCCTGGTGTATAGATTAAACCCCTAACAAATTCAGACAGACTACATTAAACATTCAGCCTTCTCTGTGGTGTGAAACTTGCCTAAGGCTATACTAGACTTCTTCTCACACCCAGGAAGCCCAAACTTACCTGGGCCATTTGCCACCTTTCCTACCATTGTCCTTTCCCCCCTTCTTTCTACCTGGAAGAGCAACAGATTTCCAGAAATCATGCCCCCACTCTGCATGGGAGTTGCTCTGCTCAGTTTTGGGAATGCTGTCCTGGGGCTGAACTGTCCTGAAGGATGATTCAATGAGGACCGACTCACCTGATCCCGTATATCAAGCTGGTCCCAGGTTGTGATTGCCATCATGTCCAGTTATTCACTAGGACATCCAGGCATCTACCTCTGCTTTCACATCTTGTATGTGCACCCCGTCTTCTTCCACCTCTAGCATAACTTCTGGGGATGGTCATCAAAGCAGCACTGCTAGCTACCACTAGAAGGAGGAAGAGAGTCAAGGGCCCAATGGCTCTGCTTGCCATCACTGGCACTGTCCTCACCAAAGCTCCCTTTCCTGGACCCCACTGCTCTCCATACTTTGTCTCCTCCATTTGATAAGAGCAGGGACTTTTTTCCACTTTGGTATTTTTATTCTCAGCAGTTTTAAACTGCCTGGCACATAGTAGGCTTTAATAAATGCTTGTCTTTCATTCCTATAACTCCATTTTCTTCTTTCCTCATGGGAGTTATTTATGACTGTATCATGAAAACTTCCAGAAAGCCCCATCCCTTTGGATTTGATATGTTGAATTTAGACTACACAATCCTATAATTCATTTCAATTCAACAAGTCCTTGTGAGCCACCTATCTTTTCTTGAAACTCAGAAATTTACTCTCCCAGAGTCTCAGATGTGTATTCATAGCTAGCAGAATATGAATTAGCATTTATATAGCGCACACACACACACACACACACACACACTTCATCCTCATGATAACCCAGGATATAAAGGCTATTATTCTCCCCATTCTATGGATGAGGAAACTGAGGCACATAGCAGTTCAGTGACTTGCCCAGGGTTACACAGCTAATACGTGTCTGAGGCAGGATTTGATTTAGTCCTTAGACGTCCTGACTCCAAATGCTGTACTCTCCTCAGTGCACTACCTAGCTGCTGTATTAGAACAATGGAAACTTATTGTTTGCTTTCCTCATGAAAACTAGCTGGGAATAGCTGGTGAAAGAGAGTTCCAATTGGGATAGAAGGAATAAAGAAAGGGGTAATTTTGGAGTCAGATCATAGAGCTAAGACTCAAAAAGACCCCAGGGGCCATCTATTCCAAGTCCCTTATTTTGCAGAAGAGGAACTGAGGCCCAGTGACTTTCCCCAGGTAACGTGTGGCCGAGGTAAGATCTTAACCCAGGTTCTCCAAATCCAGAATCAGCGCTCTTTCATTTCTGAAAGGTGGGCTCATCAATAGGGCTGCACTGGGGACATGAAGCCCTTATAGGCTTGGGAACAAAGATTGCTAGAGGTTGGGCAGAGGGTGAGCTTGAACTTGAAGAATACGGAATGGAAATTTCAACTACTTTGTTGTTGTTCAGTTATTTTCAGTCATGTCTGACTCTTCATGACCCCATCTGGGGTTTTCTTGGCAAAGTTCTCCAGCTTATTTTACAGATGATTAACTGAGGCAAATAGGGTTAAGTGACTTGCCCAGGGTCACACAGATAGTGTCTGAGGCTGGATTTGAATTCAGGTCTTCCTGATATGAGTTCAGGTAGTCCCCAATTGGTAGTTATCAGCAAGGTCATGTTGTCAAGATTTCTTTGTGATATTTTACATAGAAAAGTATCAGAGTCATACTGTCTTTCATGTTAAAAGCCAGAAACCAAACAAAACTTGCAAATGAATGAAATGGTTTCTTTTATATAGACTTTGAGTCTGAGAAACCATCGAAATGCAACAAATGAGGACCACCCTCGTGGTGTTTGTCTAGCACTTCCAAAGGGTGACAATCATTTGTAACATAGAAGCCAAGGGAGAGCATCTTAGAGGAGCCAAAATGCCAGGACTTTCTCGGGCACTTCCTTGTGTAAACATTTCCAAGATGGTGCCAAGCCCATCACCCTCGTTTTGGGGTCTGAAGACTAATTGCTGCACAAGCGAGCCTCCTGCCTTTTTTTGCATGAATTTCTTGCTGGGTGGTTATCTTGTATCTATTGCTTTTCTCTTACGAAATCGAGCCTCCTGCCTTTTTTTGCATGAATTTCTTGCTGGGTGGTTATCTTGTATCTATTGCTTTTCTCTTATGAAATCATGGCTTGGGGATTGTCGGATCTTAATGCATCTTTCAAGGACGATCACAGTTTAGAGGGAATGGATTGAAGTTCATCTTCCTCTGTCTTAATTGCTTACTAAAATGCCTGGAAATCATCCAATATTCTCCCCTCCCTCTTCCCCACCTGTGTTTTATATTTTGCAATATTTTTGAAGAGCTCAAATCAATCCAAGAAGAAATAAGAGAGTCAGTGGAAGAGAATGAGTCATACCCTTCTGAAGGCGAGCCTAGCGACTCCAGTGCAGACGAAGCACAAGAAGGCCCGAGTCGCTGTCTGTATCATCTTCACAAAGGTGAGGTCAAGCTTTTACCTAGGAATGAAGTTGAAAAGGCAGCTCTATTTCCATCTTTCATCTTCGTATCTATTCTTCCATCCTGATCTTGATCGTTTCATTTTTCTTTCATGAATAAGGGGCAATAGTTGGTCATGGAGGCTCAAAGCTGGGTATTGAGCTCCTTCTTCTAATTTTTTTTAATAAATGGGTTAGGGGGAAAGAAAGAAGATCACAAAATGTCCTCTGGGTATGACCGTGATTCTTTGCTCAAAATTCTGACCTAATTCATAAGCTGCCTCTGCCTTATTCAGTCGGCCAATACAGAAGACTGGCCCAATTGGTCCTCATTTCCAGTGCTCAGTGAAGAGGTTTCAATTTCCTCCTTGAAGTCACTGGGAGGAAGCACATTTAGAAAAGATTTGTTTGAATTCCTTTTATTTTCAGAGGCAAGAAGGAATTTCTTGCTTTTGGCATATGACCTGACTACTGGAGGTAATGAGCATTCAGGCTTGCAGTGCCACTTAGAATGGCTGACCCAATTATGGTACTGAATGGTTGCTAATGCATTGTGCACCTGGAGTTGCAGAGTCTCTGCCTCCATCATTCTCTTCTTCCCCCCACACACACATTTTAAACAACTAATGTTAAGGATGCTCACTTCCTTGTGAAGTTCAAGATGAAATGAGCTCCGTGGATTTGACTTTCAGGCCGATGCTATACAACATGGGTCTTTATAGCAAGATTCCACTGAGCTCATTGACAAATCCTTCAGCTTGGCATAATGGGTGAGGAGTTGTGGGCTGGATTTTGGGTCAGGAAGACTAGGGTTCAAATTTTGCCACTTGCCAGCTGTTTACCTCTGAGCATGTCACGCCTTTCTTGAGTCTTGGCTTCTTCATCAGTAAAATGGGGCTGATAATGATAGCCCTTACTTCATGAGATTGTTGTTGAGACTCAAATGCATTAATGTATTTGAAGTGCTTTGTAAACCTTAAAGTTTTATATAAGTGTGAGCTATTAATGGTGGCTTCAGATATTTAAACTGTTAAATGTTTAACAAGTAGCTCTCCAAAAAAAAGTACGTATGCACAATATACCTTTATGATTAATCTGCATTATTCACATTTTCTGCATCATTTTCTTAAGTCTATGCCAGGGGAACCTGGGGCCTCAAGGCCACATGTGGCCCTCTAGGTCCTCAAGTGTGGCCCTTTGACTGAATCCAAACTGCTCTGTGAAATTTGGATTCAGTGAAAGGGCCACACTTGAGGACCTAGAGTATCACATATGGCCTCAAGGCCACAGATTCCCTACCCTTGGTTTAGACAGTAAACAAAACAATCATTCAAACCCTAATTTGTAGCATTTTTCAGTTTCTGAGGAGTACATGCCCGCAATAACACTTTAACAATCAGGCTCTTGTGAGCTAGTGCAGCTTTTATTAACTTCATTATGTCTTTTTTCCTCCTCCTGCTGCTCCTCCTCATCATTATGATGTCTCCCCTTACTTCAGAGGGACCATTTAATTCCATGCAAATGAGGGGCAGTTTCATATAGTGGAAAGGGAGTCAGAAGATCTGGGTTCAAGTTCCCCACCATTTATTTATTGTCGTCGTGACTTCAAACAAGACCCTCACTTCTCCCAGTCTGTAAAAAGGTGGTGGTGGGCTGCTGCTGTGTGGGATGAGATAACTTCTAAGGAACCTTTGAATCTCAGAATCCTTATCTGTAAAATGGGCCTAACAATAGCCTCTACTTCAGAAGATCATCCAGGGTTACTCAGCCCATGTGTGTCTGCGGTTGGACATGGTGTTGTCAGTCAGGTGGGAGATTTCAGCGTCTCCATTCATGGCCATGTGACACTTTCAAAAGGAATAGAAACACTCTAATTCATTGACATTTGGTCATTGTACTTGGTTTATTTCTTTTAAAGAAAACCAATGAACATTATTCTCGCTTCAATGAGATTTCTAACTATTGTCTTTATCTAACTAGATAGCAGTCTTTATTGCACCTGGCTAATAAGACTGTAAAAACTGGGAACCATTTTTGGTGAGGGGCTAGAATACGGGATGAGAAGATATCGCTCACCATATGTCTGATTTGTTCAAGGTGCTGTATGATGCCAGGCCCAGGGAATTAATCTGCTACTTACCAGCCACTAATCCAAATTCAAATTCAATAAGTGCTTGCTAAGCACCTAGTGTCTTCAATACTATACTAAGTCCTGGGCATCCAAAGCCCCAAGCTGTTGCTGCCCTCAAGGAGTTTACATTCAACTGGGACTGGAGAGCCCAGTGTATGCATAGAGAGGTATTATCCAAGGTCAGGTGTATAGAGGCAAAGGGGTGATATAGATGGGGGTCTAAGAAAATTACAGGAGGAAGGGAATCCTTGAAGTTGGTAGAAATGTCACCTGAGCCAAGCCTTGAAGGAAGAGGATTCAGAAAGGCAGAGCTAAGGAGGTCATAAAAGCTGGTAAAGGATCATAGCTTAGAACTGGAAGGGGCCATCGAGGTAGCCTCCCCACCCCACCCTTATTGTACAGATTCAGAGTCATGTGCCTTGCTTCAGCCATAGCTAGTGAGTGTCTGGGGCAGGACTTAAATCTAGCTCTTCCTGACTCCAGTTCAGTGTCCTAGTGACCATTCCATGCTGTGTGGATAAAGTTAGAATGTCTGGTTAGAGAGTAATGCACATATTGTTTCCCTAAAATATGTATAAGATTAATCCTATTTCTCTTTTCTTACACATGCTTCCTTGCCATGATTTGGCCTGGCCTCATGTGGTCAGCAGCTGAGCTTCGTCCTAGCTGAGCCCCTCCTGCCCGAGGTGCGCTCACAGATGGCCCACACCTGTAGGCCCATAGCACCTCTTCCCCACAACGTGGAGCTCATTGGCGAGCATTCTTTTTTTGTTGGCTCAGTGATTCTGCGCTGTTGGCTTCCTGAGGGGTCTTTGATTCACTTCTAAATTTGGGAGCCAGCTTAGCAAAATAAAGGACTTACAAGGGAATGTTTGAAAATGACGTTTTTAAACATATTTTAATTAAAATCTGCATGGCTGAAGATAGAGCTTGAAAGGGCTTCTTGTCACCAGTTGCGTTTCCACTGAAGACTAAATCTCTTACCTAAGTGTGTTTGTTTTTTAATCCTATCATTAGCTTAATTACAGACATAAGGTGAGCCATGTCCTCTTGGCACATAGGCTAATCCCAAAGCATCACACAATCTGTCAGAAAGGATTTATTAAGCGTCTATGTGCCACGCAGTGTGCTAAGTGCTAAGTACACAAGGATAGAAGTGAAACATCTCCTGCCCTCAAGGAACTTCCATTCTATCGGAGAAGATTCATACACATATGTCTGTACACGTCATACGTATATAACATGCACATTGATCAGTATATGCAAATAGGTACTTGGGAGGGGAAACCACTGGGGGAATCAGGAAAGGTCTTGGCTGAGGCATGAAGGACAACTGGGGGAAAGCCAGGACCAAGGACAGCTCCAGGAATAGTCAGGAGGCCAGTTGGCCTGGAAGGGAGGAATGTTTCCGGAGACTGAAGAGATGGATAGAGATTAGATTGTGAAGGGCTTTCAATAGTAGAGAGGGGAGTTTACATCTGATCACGGAGTTCATATGGAGACCCTGGAGCTTACTGAGAAAAGGCCTTCTCTTCCAGCAGTATATTTGACAGGCAGTGTGGTGCAGTGGCTAGAGGAGCTTGACTCAGAACCATGAAGACTTGGGTCCGATCAACCATTCTCCTGATGCTTAGTAGCTATAAGACCGGGGGAAAATCATGTATCCTCTTGGGCCTTAGTTTCTTTCTTTTTTAAATGAGGGTGATAATACAAATTTACGGGATTGTCATGAAGCTCAAAGCAGATGGTTTAAAGACAGCCCTTGGTGAACCCTAAGGTATTCTAGAAGCGTGTCCCAAAAGTCGTAGTGCAGTTGTTAGCTCTTTGGGGCAAGGTCCTGCTGGTGAGGGAACTCCCCACCCATGCGGATAAGCACCTCTTCTCCAACTTGAAGTCATAGAGAATTGCCCTGGAATGAAGAGTAGGATTCAGCATAATTTCCATTAAACAACACAGATCAGAGGCTTGGGACTGAGAGAGGGTCATGACAGACATTGTAAATGTTGATTAGCATGTTAAAGTAACAATGTTTGATAGCTATGACACTTTAAATTTGCTGCGCACATTCCAAGCATAACAACCTTAAAATATCGATAGCTCAAGTTGATGTTGTAAAGTGCTCACGTTCATTATGGCAGTCGAGTGGCGTTGGATGAGAGGACTGCTCTTGAAGGGAGTCAGTAAGACCCCACTGAAAGGCCTGCCTCAGACACCCACGAGCTGTAGCCATTTACTTCATCTCCTTTGGCCTTCGTTTTTTCAACCGTGAATTGGGGGTAATGATGCCACCTTCCTCCCAGGGTTTTTGTGAGGATCAAATTAAATTATATTTGTAAAGCACTTAGCACAGTGCCTGGCACATCTGTTGTTCAGTCGTATCTGACTCTTCATGACCCCATTTGGGGTTTTCTTGGGGCAGATAATGGGGTGATTTGCCATTTCCTTCTCCAGCTTATTTTATAGATGAGGAAACTGAGGCAAACAGGGGTAAGTGACTTGGCCAGGGTCACACAGCTACTAAGTGTCTGAGGTCAGATTTGAACTCAGGTCTTCCTAACTTCAGGCATGGTGCTCTATCCACTGTATCATCTAGTATGAGGTCCTTAATAAATACTTATTCACTTCTCTTCCTTTAACCTCTGTCAGATTCAGTTTCCTCATGAAAAATAAGGCTAATAATAGGACGTACTTCCCAGGATTATTGTGAGGATCAAATGAGATAATATTTGTAAAGTACATAGCCTGACAAACACCAGGTGCTTAATAAATGCCTATTCCTTTGCCTTCCTTTAATTGCTGTCTGCCTCAGTTTCCTCTGTAAAATAAGGATAATAACAGTACCTGCCTCTCAGAATTGTTTGTGAAGGTCAAAGAAAATAACATAGAAGGTGCTTTGCAAACATCAGTGGGACATCAGTGCTGGCTACTATTACTGTGTCTTTGATCCTCATGCGGTTTTCTGAGGGCAGTGCCATCATTATCCCCACTTGAGGCTGAGCAAAGTTAAGCCAGTTAAGTATCTGAAGCTGGATTTGAACTCAAATCTGTCTATGTCCCCTAGTCACATGATAATGATAGCTGGCATTTATATGCAGCTGTAATGTTTACAAAATGTTTTAGTTGTATTATCTCATTTAGACAGGTAGGTACTGCTACTATCACCCCCATTATACAAGTGAGGAGGCTGAGGCTCAGAGGCTAAGTGATTTCTACACAAAGTAGTTCAATGAGAGAATAATAAATTTGGAGTTAGAGATTCTGGGTTAGAATCCTGCCACTTATTACCAGGGTGATCTAAGCAAGTCGTCTTTCTTGCCAAGGTGAGGGGGCAGAGCTGAAGACTTCTAAGGTCCCTCCCAGCTGGTGATCTGAGATAACAGGACTCCATAACACTCCTACCTCAACAATGAATACCTTTGTGGCCCTTGGTATGTCACTTCACCTCTGCCTGCCTCAGTTTCTTTATCTGTAAAATGGAGATTATGATAGTGTGTTACAGAAGAGAAAACTGAAGCAGACAGAGGTGAAGTGGCTCATCCAAGCGCACATAATTAGTTGCATGAAGTGAGATTTGAATCCAGGTCTTCTCGACTTCCTGCCAGCCCTATAACTGGCACCCCACTTTTTTTACTTGATTCTCCTTCCACCATCCCTGGCTGCCTCTCCTAAGCCATCTACATGAATGTGTTGCTAGAAAAATAGGCTCAGATGGACAGGCATGAAAAACAAAGGCCTTCTGCAGGGGTGTGCTGGTGAATGTTTAACAACCAACTTTGCTGGGGCAGAGTAGTACACACAGCATATTTTTAAGTTCAATATGCAATTATTAGCATTTCCTCTACCACTTTCTTAAACACTAAGTCAAATCCTGGTTTGCAGCACTTGACCATTTCTGAGGTGTAAATGCTCACACGATTGAATTTAACAATCAGCTCTCTCAAGCTTATTCAAGGTGGCTTCAGCACCCTCTTCCCAATCTCCCACTCCAGGAGTTCTGTATTATTTTTGATGAAAGACTGTAGCAAACAAAAAACCAGCCCTCCATCTGCCTTTTTCTCCAATTCCCTCAAAATAGCATCTGATAGAACTGCAGCGACCACACACCTCTCACATAATGCTTCAATTATTTTTGTAACTCCAGATGGGGACTTGTTGGCAGAGGAAACAGCAGCCCTGGAGACAGAGGAGGAGTCCAAGCATGATGCACCTGAGGGAGAGCAGCTGAAGAGGAGAGAAGCCTTTGAGCCCAAGAAAGCTGGGCCAGGGGCAGGAGCAGAGGAGCCCAGATCAAGGAAGGAGAAGGAAGAGGAAGAGGAAGAAGAAGAGGGGGAGGAGGAAGAGAAGGAAGAGGGGGAGGAGGAAGAGGAGAAGGAGCAAGAGGAGGAAGAGGAAGCTGAGGCAGCTCTGGGGAGGGGATGGGTGGTGGTCAATGCCACATCAGCACCTCGAGTTTTAGTTGAAGTGGCAGAATTGACTAAGGTCAGAGAGGTCCCAGGGGTCCATTGGGATGGGGAGGAGACAGGAGCTAAAAGAGAAGGGCTAGCATCTAAGGAAGAGGGGGAAGCGACAGAGAGGATGAGAATAACACAGGTCATAACTGATGCAAGATCTCATGAAGAGGAGATCTGGAGGGACAGAGGCTCAGAGAGAAAGGAGGCTGTGATCCAAGAGGAGGAGACTATAGGGAAGGCAGCCAGGGAAAGCCATGGGGATACAGGGGAGGTAAGGCATGAGACCAAGAATGAAGGAAGGATCCAAAGTGAAGTAGGAAGGTCCAAGGAGGAAGAGGCTGAGAGTGAGGCTGAAAGGGAAGGAGAATACACAGAAATGGTGTCTCCAGTCAGGTGGAACATGGCAGCTTGGATAGACGTGTTAGAGATGGAGGCACTTGAGGGCACCAAGGAAGCACTATCTAAGAAAAAGGAAACTTACCAAGAGGGGCAGGAAGGTGGGGAAAAGGCAGCAGTTCTGAGGGGTGTGACCCCAGAGGAGGAAGGGGACATTGGGGTAGCTGATTTAGAAGATGTTGGTAGGGAAGTTGGATATCCTAGGGGGGCAGAGAAGGAGACAGCTGCTGTGGGAGAGGAAATAGTGACTGAGGAGGAAACTGAGGCACTGAATGAAACTGTGAAGGCAACCATGTCCCAGAGGGAGGTGGTGACACCCCTAGCTGTAGCTGAAGCCAAGGAGGTTTTTGAACAATTGGAAGAAACCACAAATGGAGGAGAAGAGATAGAGGAAAAGGAGTGTGATACCGAGGAAGGAGTAGTAGGGAAGGGAATGGAGCCTGTTGACGGAGTGGTGTTTCACAGAGAAAGTGCCGAAAATGAGAGAAAACTGTCCCTAATGGAAGCAGCTTCTGAAGTCAAAGAGTTGTCAGGGAAAGAAGGAATTCCAGGAATGGAGGAAGAAGTGGAAATAGAAGATGGAGAAATCAGATATGGAGCCACAAGAGAGGTGACTTGCAGGGCAAAAGAAGAAAACAAAGTGGAAAAACAAGAGATGGGATTACCAGAGGAGGTCAGGAGGTCACCCAACAATAGAGATGGAATGCCTGACGTCAAACTGGTGAGAAAGAAGTGGACACCTGAGGAGGAGACCACAACAAAGGAACCATCGGTCACTGAAAGGGTAGAGACCCCAGAGGAAATAGGAGTAATAAGGGCTAAAGAGAGAGAAGAAACAGGAGTCCTAGTGAAGACCTACGGGGCTATCTTTGAAGAAGAGCCAGGGAGTGGGGGACAGGTCTGTGAAGAGGAAGCTCCAGCAGCAAGAACAGAGACAGAGATGTCTCTGGAGAAAGAAGCCCTAAAGAACAAAACACAAGAAGGGAAAACCATCGTGGACGGCCAAGCTGAGGCAGATGTGGGGGACGCAGGAGGGATGGCAGTGACAGCACTGAAGAGGGAGGTGTTGGCAGCAGCTGAGGGCAAAACAGAAGAAAATAAAGCCTCCTCTCCTTCAGATGGTGTTGTGGGGGAAACTTGGCCCAGGCAGGACCAGCTACTAAAGAAAACAGCAGCTGGAGGCAGAGTGGCAGTGGAGGAGGAGGGAAAGGGAGAAAGAGTCCCAGCTGTGGAGGAGGTGATAGGGAAAGCAGCCCCAGAGGCAGACCCAGCCACCAGGGAAGGGGTTCTTGAAATGAGTCTCATGATACAGGCATTGGAATGGGAGAGAGATCAGAAAAGGGACATAGTGAGAGAAGACTGGATGTGGGAGAAGAGCCAGGCTGAGGAGGCAGGGGATGAGGAGAAATCCAGACCAGGATCGCCAGAGCCCAGGGGAGAAGTGAAACACGGAGAGGGAGGGCCCCAGAGCCAGAGGCCCCGGGGCTTAGAAACCATGACTGTGGAAAATGGGATGACTGAAATCAGAGAGAGGCAAGAAAGCACAGCACAAAGGAAGGATGATGCTCTAGGAGCTGAAGTCCCAAGGCCCTAAGGTGAGTATAACCCAGAGTCCCCAAGCAGCAGCACAGAGGGACAGTGACCCAGGTCATGCCTTCCTTGCTCTGCCCAACACATGGGCATGCTCTGCTTAGTAGAAGCCTCCACATGGACTGTGTCCAGCCCCAAGGAAATCCAGTGGATTCAGCAGTAAGCATGTATGAAACTCCTTATATGCAAGGGGCTAGGAAGGCAATTAACAAACATGTATTTATTAAATACCTAATATATGTGAGAAATTGTACTAAGAGCTGGGGACCCAAAGGCAAAAGGAAACAGTCCCTGCACTGGAGGAAATAAAGATGGCAGTTCCTGACCTCAAGGAAGTTCCATTCTCCAGGGGATAAGGGAGAGGGCATGTGCACATATAAGCACAGCACAAGGTAGAGAGGGTGATGGCAGAAAAGGAGGGAACCAGAGAAAGTGTTCTAGAAAAATAGAGGGGGGAGGGTTCACTGTCACTCAAGAAGGGATGTGTGGTCAGAGAGCCGGAGTGAGCATGTAGCCAGAGCTGGGAGGAGCATGAGCAGCTAGGGTTTAGTCACAGCTGCTGACATCTGGTGGGAGAAACACTTCCTCCCCCTCTACTTTGCTTTTCAACTAAATGTGCCCCTCCCCCGGATGCTAGACTTGATAGCTTCAGAGGGATCGCTTTGGGTGGGACCACTGTGTGGTGGGAAAAGGGGGATAAAATAGGGTACTCCATGCCCTCACTAAGTATTGTATTTCTTTTCAGATTTTCTGATTTCTCCCCTTAGAATCAGGAACACAGGTGCTCACTATAAACAGCTCACACTACTCTCCCTTTATCTAGGGACACTAAGTCAGAATAAAAAGATTAATGCTGGGAAGGGGGGAGCAAGTGACCTTCTCCCCTTTACCCCCAAATTGGAGAAAAATGAGTTGAACATTCCAGTATTCTCTCTCTCTCTCTCTCTCTCTTCTCTCTCTCTCTCTCTCTCTCTCTCTCTCTCTCTCTCTCTCTGTCTCTCTGTCTCTGTCTCTCTGTCTCTGTCTCTTTCTCTCTCCTTTCCTCCCCTCCCCTCCCCCTTCTCTTTCCTTCTCTCTTTCTTTCTTTTTTGAACAGGATGATATGAAATTTCATACTGCTTGCTTCTATTAAGTATTTTCTGTGCCTTCACCTTAGAATTTTGGTAAAGTTTGTGTTTGTTAATAAATATGGAACAAGCAGCAATCTCTAAAGTGTGTCCTACCTATGATGTATTCATCTGACAGCCTCCCAGTGATGAGTGAGGGTTCTGCTTAGCTCTGCTGAATTATTCTGCTGGTAACATTGTCTGCTTTTTTTCTTATTTTTCAGATGGCTTTAAATATGTCTATGGAAAAAACAAGAAGCAGAGGAGCAAGTCTCTAATCATTGTCCTGTCCAGACTTTTATAGCACTGTGTTTTTTCTCCCTCTGAGTATTGCACACACACACACACACACACACACACACACACACACACACAGAGCTGTAAGTTTGTGCTGGATCAAGATACTCATCTATTCATTTTTGCTGATGCCCAACAAGACAAACTTTTCTGTTTAATCCAGAGGAACTACAGGACATGCAATTGAAATGGACTTATAAGAAGATAACTTAGAAGAAATGCTCTCTAATGGGATTAGTCTGTAGATGTTTCCCGTAATTGACATCCATCAATTTTCTAAGTGAAATAGTATTTTAAAATTAGTCCCTTTTATCCTAAGATCCTATAGTTTTATGCAAAATCACCCTATAGTTTTATGAGTTTATGCAAATTTATTTTTTGTTTTAAATTAATTTTCATTTTTCTTAGTTAATTGCTTGGGGATTACCTAAATCAGATTTGTGGTTTGGGACTACTAATGACTTGGCTTCTTGGTCCATGAAAGTCATGTCCAGTAGTCTCCCATGTCTGTTCATCAAGCAAAGTCCAGTGCTGACCTATAGGATGCAATCCCTGGGAATTGTCCTGACAAGATGGATTTGATGGATAAAAAGTCTTTGATTATAGTCTAGAAAGATCCTTTCTTACTGATAATGCCAAGTATTTCCCTCTAAGTGGGAAGGGTTATTTTGAAATGCTGAGAGAGAGAGAGAGAGAGAGAGAGAGAGAGAGAGAGAGAGAGAGAGAGAGAGAGAGAGTATTTTTATTATCCTTCCTTCCCCAGACAGCCAGCTAAACTCACAGCTTAACAGCATTTCATCTTAAGGATCCTGGTGGATCTGTGTTGATGCCACAAGGAATGGTCAGGAGGGGTGGCTTGGCCCACTATTCCCCACTTCTGTGGGGGGTGTTGTGCCAAGACTGCATCAGTAAATAACAGCACTGGATTTCTGGATCACCACTGGAAGCACTTCCCAGATAAGTGTGAGTGTGCCTCCTTCTGTGGAAAGGGCTCATGACTTCCCTTAGGATTCCTCTAGCCACAGAGCACTGCCCTTGGGGGCTGCTGGCCTTGGCCACCTTTTCCCCTTATAGAAGTGGTTTGTTAGATTGGATAAAGCATGGTTCTTAGAGCCTGAGTTCAAATTCCACTTCTGATGCCTATTTTCTGTGTGACCTTTTGTGAGTGACTCCGTTCCCTAGTCTCAGTTTCCTGATGTGTAAAATAAGGGGCGGTAGGCAAAGTGGGCTTTGAGGTCCTTTCTGGACCTGTGAACCTCTGGCAAAAAGGCAGATAAATTCTATAGAGAAATGATCACAAATAAGTATATAAGGTACTGAGCTCATTCGTCGGTACAGGAAATCCCCTCAATGAGAGTTCCCAAGGCCAACAAAATCACAGATCTGTTCCAACACTAAACCATCCTTCCCCCAGGCCCCATCCCCACCAAAGCCATTTCCTCCCCCAAAACAGGCAGCAAACCTCCCCCACAAATGCCTCAAACATGTGCTAGCTGGGCCTTCTGAGGCCCTGGGGACCAGGATTCTTATTTTGGTTGGCCCTTTGGTGCTTGATAAAGGAGAATTCTCTAAAGAACATGATCATTGATCATTCACTGCAGAAGAAGAATTTTTTGGGGGAGCAAAGGGGGTATGGTATTTGTGATAAAGAAAATAGGTCAGAGGGGTGAGGTTGGGCCTTTGAGGGAGAGGTGGGATCTCCAGTAGGCTGGGATGATGGCATTCTAGCAGGGCTGATGGTATTTTTCTCCCCTGCCTTGCCTTCTCCCCTAGCCCTAAGTTAATAACCATAATGAGCTGACTTTGGAGAGGGGAATGCTCTGCTCTAATAGGCTTCTTCCACAGCCTGTGGGCAGGCACCGGGTCACTCGGGGCATAATTTTATCCTCAGAGTATGACATGCCACGTCTTAATGAGCCCTCACATCAGGATTCTGCGGTCTTTGGTCTCTCTGTCTTCACTCTTTGGAATGACAATGCTTTCATAGAATGTGGAAGAATGCATAAGCACCTCTCCTGCACTGAACTATGATTTTTGTGTGGTGGTTAGAAAGGAAACAATGATTTATACAAAGGACTCATGGCATCAAAGTCCCCTGGGATGTTACTGTTCATGGCACACCTGGATTTCATGTTCTTGGGCTGGGTCTTCTATGTGGGCAATATGGCAGTGAAAGCATGAGCCTCCCCACCCAGCTGCTCCTCTTCGTCAGTGTTCTTCATTCTTAAAAGGACCAGTAAATAACATGCTGAAAGGGCAGGTTCATGGATGACCTGGCCTCATTAAGGTGACCCCTCAATACTTGCCTGGATTCATGATCTCCCCAGTGTGAAACATCTGCCAGTAGGAGAGATCACAACCCATTTTCTCTTTCCAATGTTGCACCATTCTCATCCTTGCCTCATCCCTAACTCCCTCCCTCCCTCCCTCCTTCAAGGGGCCACTGGACAGGCTGGAGACCTCCTTTTATATCCATTGATCAGGCAGCAAGAAATAAACACTTATTGTGTCCACTGCGTGCCCATCAATGAATAAGCTTTTGTTTAGCACCTACTATGTGCCAGGCACTGGGCTAAGCACTGAGAATACAAAAAAAAAAGGCAAAACTCATGTCTGCTTTCTAAATTTTCCTGTCCAAATTTGGGAGGGCAGGATAACATGTAAATAATGACATACAACCATACGAGGAGATGGAAGGTAACCTTTGGGGGAAAGCCCTACTGACAGATGGGAGAACCAGGAAAGGCCTCCTGCAGAAAGTGGCCCCAAAGCTAGATCTTCTAGGAATCTGGTAATCCAGAAGGCAAACATGAGGCAGGAGAACATTCTACTTGGAGGGGAAGGTCAGTGCAAAGGCAAAGAGAAGAAGAGCAGAGTGTTGTTTATGAAGAATGGCAGGTGGGCCAGTATGGCTGCATGCTAGAGTGGTGGAGCGGATGGGGATGATGGGGAACAGGAAGGGGCCAGGCTACAAAGAGCTGCCAAGGCTTCACAGAGGACTTGAGACTGGATCCTGGAGGTTAGAGGGAGCTGTTACCACTGAGTGTGTGTGTGTGTGTGCATTTGTATATGTTTGGGTCTATATATAGATGTACGTGACTTTTTCCATCTGGGGGGCTCTATGTGTCTATGCATGTATGTCCACATGTGTTTATTTATGAATATGTATATGTGTAAGTCTGTGCATATATGTATGTGTGTGCATGTGTTTGGGAACATGATGTTGGTTGCATCAAGCCTTGGAACATTGCAAGACTTCTGGAAGAGATCAATAACCATTCCAAAGAGTCTTTGTCCTAAGAATTGAAATGGATGAAAAGGATGTGGATGAAAATGCCTATTGTCCAGATCATGACATTCAGTTAGAAGGTCAAAATATAGCTCTCATCTCCCATATGGAGCTCTGTCTCATACACACACATATAGATAGATAGATAAACATGGTGATAGATGAGTTTTATAGTTTTATTCACATGTGTATATACCTATACACATGCGTACACACACATATAGCTATCATCTGAACAAGTTGGTCCTAGAATTAATTATGCAGGAGGAGGAGAGTAGATTGGGTTATGTTTGGCAAATTGCATTGAATGGAGAGGCACTTGGTGAATGTAAATACCCCAATAGTTAATCAATAAACAAAGAAAGAGCCACAAAGGACAAGAGTGAAAGGTATTGTTCTGAAATTCATATTGAAGAAGATGAGCTAGTTGTGTGACAAGAGTGAGAGATAACTATTCACTCTCCCACGTGTTGCCTGACGTCCTAACAATGTCAGGAGAAAGCAAATAAAGGAGCCAGGATATCGGTTGGACAGTCTCTGGCAGAATGATGGCAGAATACGGACGAGCTCCACACAGATTGGTTAGGTAGCAGCCTGCTTTCTGGGAGAGAACATCTGCATGAGAGTTCTCAGGGGCTAAGTAATGGAAACAGGATTTGAATCCATGCCTCTGATTTCAACTGTAGTATAAAATAGAGCTTTAGAGATTGTCTTGTTGAACATTTTACATGTGAGGACACTGAACCTAAGAGAAGGCATCTGCCTTGGCCTGAGTCACAAAGCAAGTTAGGGGCAGAACCCATCCTTGAACTCAGGTCCTCCAGACTCTGAGGCCAAGTGGTATTGCCACCACAGCATCGTCCCTCCACTTGTTGATAAGTACTATTTTTAGAAGGACCTGGCTTTCCAATCAGGTGAATAATTTGTGTGCTAAGCCTTGATAGGGACTTAGTTCAGTGGGTTGAAGACAGATAATAATGTGTGTTTAATCCCACTCTGATCCAACAGGTTCAGTGGGTCTCTAACAGAGGAAATAGATCACTTCCTGCATTTGCGAGCTTGGTTTCAGATTTCCAATTTCATTACAAGGAGAATTGCTTTGGGTTGTCACTATTATGAGTGTCCCTTATGGAAGGATGGTGGGGGTGCCTGCTAGACTTGATTCCCACTGAAGATGCTGAAGTTTATAGCCATGGTGGGAAGCAGAGGAGAAAATGCTCTTTTTCTTCTTTCATGGCTTTTGGCTGGTCTCCAATCAGTTGGAAGGGGCTGGAGGGATTGTGTACCCAGGGGAGAGTTGAAGGTTTATGATCTGCCCCCAACTCCCTCCTCCTTTGTCTCCCCAGTCCAGGACACTCCAGCAAGGTGCTATGGAGCTCCAGTCTGCTTATGTATCTGGACAGACAGAAATGGCTTCACTTTAATGAGGACAGGTGGTATAACAGATAAAGAGCTGGCTTCAGAGCTAGGAAGATGTGGGTTCAAATCCTGCATTGAACACATACTGGTAGAACCTTAGCCAAGTCTTTTAACCACCACTGTATCCACTGTAGCATGCTTCCTTTCAAGGAGAGAGCGAGAGCATTCTCTTAATAGGAACTGCTCCCAACATCTTTTGGTTGTCTTGGACCCTTTATGGGGGTAGGTCCAATGAAGTGTACAGTCCCCTTCTTTTTCAGGAAACTACCTGATCCCATCCAACCCACACCATAAAATGAATCCCCATTACAATATAATAACAACAGCACTCATCCAAAGAATGCTCTAAGATTTTCAAATCAACATACATATACTAACTCATTTGATCCTCCCAACAATCTTAGGAGGAAGGTGCTATTATTATCCCCATTTTGCAGATGAAGAAGCTAAAGCAGGCATAAGTTAAATGACTTGCCCAGGGCCACACAGCTAGGAAGGGTCCCAGGAAGAATTTGAACTTAGGTCTTTTTGATTCCAAATCTCACACTCTATCCACTGCTTTACCTAGCTACCTTTAATACACCAGATAGTCAATGCTCTTTTGCCTGAAGACTTCCAGGAAGGGGGTAATCCACCATTTTGGAGGCTGCCCATCCATATCACTTTGGGGTACCTGTAATTGTTAGAAAGGTTTCCTTTAAAGGGTCAAGTCTCTTCTAAACTTCTTCCCACTGTTCCTCGTTCTGTCCTTGGGGGCCAGGCAGAGCCAAGCTCATCTCTTTTTCCCCTGACATCCCTTCACTTACAGCTATCTAGGTTCCCCTGGGTCCTGGCTCTTCAGTAAGCTAGGAGCCTTCCTTCTTCTGGGCTTTTGCACATTCCCCTGGTGTTAGCATCACACTGGGGCTGTCCATCTGTGATTCCTTACTTTCCACATAAACAGCCCATAGTACAGATTTTGTTCTCAAATCCTAGGAGATATATTTCCTTCATGGGTTTCAGATTTAATTAGTCACAGGAGATTTGTGTGGTTCAAACTTTCTAAATTCAAATTTAATTTAAAAAAAGAAATGCCAGTTGCTCATTTTTATCCAAGTTTTCCACAAAAAGGAATGCAGAATACAAAGTTTTCTCTAAGCACAACTAAAATCGCTTAAGGCTGCTCTCCTCCAGTTGGGCCCTCTGGGCTCTGCTCAGATTTCTAAGGTCTTGGACTCTGGGGCAAAGAGCAGACACAAAGAGTATAGTAGTGGGAGTGTTGCTGTGAAGGAGGCTGAAAGCAGCCACCCTGGTGTTACACTAGAGGAGAAATCCCCAAGTTCCCTGAGCGCTTCTGCTTTGGATGGCCCAGGGATGTGAAGGGGAGAGTAAGGAAAGGAGAAAGAATATCCTATTCTATCAGTTGTCATGTGCATATACACCAAAGCAAGATGGAAGAATTATCTAATCTAACTTTATATATGTCATTGTTAAGTGAGTGAATGAATAAATGAATGGGAAAAAAGCATTTATTAAGCACCTACTATATGCCAGGCACTATGCTATGCATTGGTGAAATTCCTACAAATGTGAGATAATCCCATTCCTCAGGAAGCTCACATTCTAAGGGGGATGGGGGATAGAACACAAATAGGGAAATGATCACTAAGGGAGGGAGGTTTGAACAAGAAAGTTGTAGCAATGGTGAATGGGGCCAGAAGGCCATGGACTGCCCCACTCCTTCCCATAGCAATTGCGGTGTGGATTTGATTACCATTCCCTGAACAACAATAAGACATTCGAGATGTAGAAACTGGGGTTGGTAGCTCAGAAGAACATGGGATATCATAGGGCAGCTGGCAAGATGCCCACCAGGTGGGAAGAATGACATCTTTGTTCATGAGGAAACTACAAGAGACCCTCCTCCTCCTCAGTGATTCTTACAGCCTAGTGTAGTGGACAGAACAGCTCCAGACATAGATTCACCAACATTCTAACCCTGCCTCAGAAACTTCCCAGTTGCATGATGCTCGACAAATCACTTAGCCTTTCTGTGCCCCAGCTTCCTCATCTGTAAAATGAGTGGAATGAGCCAGCCTCTGGGATCCCTTCTGGCTTTAAAGCTGAGACACCAAGACCACTTTCTTCTCGTCTTTGTTAGAGGAGCACATTGACAAATTAACAACAAGAATCCCCATGTCCTTTCCTATACGCATCTTACAACAAAGCCGTGGCAAATCTCATTACCAAAAGGAAATCCTAAAGAGTCTGTTCCAAAGTTCTGTTCTTCTCTGTCAGCAAGGCCTTTGCAAGGTCACTAACTGGAGGCAAGGAAGGCATGAGAACCATTATCAATATAACCGGGCTTCGTCTGAACTCCTGCAACATCCCAGATCTAGAGATAAAGATTTGAGAACAGCTCCAGGAAACCCCAGCAAGGTTCCCATATCCGTTTGGGGGCTGGAGGGGTAGCAACTATTTTCGTAGCTATATGTCAGCACAATTGGTTTCTCTTGTGAGCCTATGGATTTTATTTATGCATTTACGACCATTCTAAGGAGGTGTCCGTGGACTTCGTCAGACAGGCACATGGGCCATGAGACACAGCAAAGGTTAAAAAGACCTGCTCTAAGCCTCTTTCTCATTTAAAAAACATTATGAGAGTCTGACTAGGCTGAAAGTTACCAGGGAAGTAAACTTATTTAAAAACATAATTTTAAAAAGGAAAACAAAGTTAATTGTTTTTGATGGACCCATACTAGCTGGTTGTTATTATTCCTCTATGTCCCCACC